GTGTCGTATGAATGATGTTTCATTAGTTCACTTTTAGTGGGCAGTGGTTTGAAGCAACAGCTTGTACAGGGCATCAGGACAGATGTGAGGGTTGTGGTCTTTCAGATGCTGTTGGACTCCAGTTCCTGGCAAGGGCATTCATGAAGGATGGTGGAGTTTCTGTGTACAGCGTGTGCACACATACTTGACATCTAGGGAGAGGTAACATAGGTGGAAGAGCCTAGGAAAAGCAGAGTACGTAAAGCAATGATAAAGGTAAAAGGAACAAACCAAATAGAATGAAAGCAAGTCGGAAGAAGGAGTGACCAATTGTGATGGCAGGAGCATGAAAAGGCCAGAAAGAGAGGTCACAGGTGGGATGAAAAAATGCCGCAAGGGAATGAGCAAAGATGAGAAACGCACATGATGAGAAATGTCAGCTACGGTATGATAAAAGGTTTAGGCACATATTGGTTTGAAGTAACCAGCTAAAAGGTTGTTGTGGGTTTTTCGGGCTCTTTGGCTGTGTTCTGAAAGTTGTTCTTCCTAACGTTTCGCTAGTCTCTGTGGCCGGCATCTTCAGAGGACTGGCAAAACGTTAGGAAGAACAACCTTCAGAACATGGCCAAAGAGCCCGAAAAACCCACAACAACCATTAGATCCCGGCCGTGAAAGCTTTCACGAATATATTAACCAGCTAAATATTTGACTGCAAGCTTCTAATAGCAGCAAATACAGTATCTACAGAAAGCATTGCATTTTCCCAGTTTTAAAACGTTGTCGTTTGGGTGAATTGAAAACACCTTTGCAGGCAGATAAGTGCTGGAGTATGCATGCAAACTCTCTTGTTTAGAGGTAGCCTAATCAACAAAGGCTCTGAGAAACTTGTCACTTGTTTTCTTTCTTCTGGGGGGGCAGGGGAGGGGTACCCCTAGGCTGAGCAGAGATGGAAGATGTCTTCTACCTTGAGAGGCCGAGACAGTAAGCTCTTCCAGATGAGATCACTGTCAGAACTGATCAATGTGCTGACCTACTTAACTTGACAGTGCCTTTTTACCTATAGCAGAATGGTGGCTGACATCAGTATAATAAATATGCATGATTTCCTTCCCCCCTCCAGTGATTCCTTCCCAAACATATCAGCTGATGACGTCCTTGTTATTACAGCAATGCTGCTTAGTCTTGGAAGTATAGGACTTTTGCACAGAACACTCTTGGTGGAGTGCAGCCATCTAGCGGGCACTGTGTTCAATCGCTACAGTCTTCTAGGAAAATTAAAACAGATGAGATAGATGGTATCACACATATGCAGCATTTGGCTCCTTTTTTCCCCACTAATTGAAGTCATCCAGGAATACTATATATATCTATTTAAAAGGAACTGTTCCAAGGTCTGCTGCAACCTAGCTGAAATATTCTGTAAAATAAATGCCAATATGTCTTCTTTCTTCTCCTTCTGTTTTGGAAAATCTCTTTGCTTTTTTCCCTTTCTCCTTTTTCTTCCCCACCCCCTGCCTTTCCAAAAAAAGAAAAAAAAAAGACTGCAATAAGAAAATTACATTAAGTACCACAACTGACATTATGGTGGGATGGGAGATGAGTGGGTGGGAAAACTGGTAATTTGCATTTGACAGTTAAATAAAGAGTCAATTAAAAAAAAGTGTAATTATGGGCTTCTCATTATTTACCATTATATATTTTATTTATGTTCTGCATTTGTACAGGCACTCCATAACATATGCTCACAATCAAATAAACCATTTAAATACAGCACAAAACAATAAAAATACTTAGAACTAAAACAAAATGGAATGGAAAGGCCCAGGCTAAAGAATGTAACATTGCTGTGATGGCCACAGTCAATAAATTTACTGAAATGAACATAATAAGGGCCCTTGCCAAACCTTTCTGGGAAGGAGTTCTCTTGGGCCGTATTGCCATCAAAGGCCTTTTCCACAGTGGAAAGGATCAACCCAGGACCGTAAATGCTTAGAAATCTTCTGGCCAGTTGGTAACATGCCTTTCATGGGCAATATGTTTGAGCATGTAATGTCTGGGCAATTCCAAGCACTCTTGGATGTCTGATTTCTTGAAACCACTCCAGTGGGCTTTAAACCTCCTTTTGATTAGAACCTGACTAGATTACTTTAATAGATTACTTGACAGGTAATCCTGTTTATTCCCCTTAGACCTTATGGATCGGCTGCTTGGACTGAGAATAGAAGGCTTAATTTTAAGACAAACTGTGGCACTCCCTCCCTTTCAAGCATGGTCCCTCCCAGTTGTCCCCCTGCCAGCAGTCAGAACTTTTTAGTCAGTTGCTTTAGCAACTGATTTGTCACTTGGTTGCTGAGGAGGGGGGCCTTTAATATAATGGCAGCTGGTACCCTTTATGAGTGGTGGGACAGAAGACATAACTCACTTGCATTCATTCACTGTGAAGTCACATTGGGAAATTCAGGTTTCCCCAGGTCTCTCCAGATTAACTGGCCACACAGGGAGAGACAGGAAGCTTTGTTTTCAGCTTGTTTTCAGTTTTATTTATAGTCCAGCAGTTGGCAGGGTTATAAATTGCCTAATATGACGTAAACACGGCTTCTTTCTCTTATTGGATGTTTCCTAAGCTGTTAAAAAACGAGGTTTAAAAAAATCTATTTTTAAAAATGCTATTTTAAAAACAGAAAAAAATCTTGCTGCTAAGACTTGCTCACTGTGTGATGGTGCCATGGCTTTTCTGCATTGATTCAAGTGAGGACATGTTTGAATTGATGCAAATGAATCTATTTTTTTAAAAAAATATATAGAAGCCCCAGTGGTTATAGCAGCTCCACTGGCTGCCAATCCATTTCCCAGCTAAATTCAAGTGCTGGTTCTAACCAAAAAATTCCTAAATGGCTTGGGTCCAAGCTATCTTAAGGATCATGTCTCCCTTTATGAGCCTGTTCGGGGCCTTTCTCTTGGTCCCATTATCTTCTCAGGTATATGTGGTAGGAGGTAGGATATGGGAGATTATGTTCTCTGTTGCTGCTCCCAGACTTTGGAACTCCCTCTCACAGGAGGCCAGGTTGACCCCATCTTTGCTGTCCTTTTGCAAGCAGACAATGACCTTTATTTTCGTTCAAGCTTTCCTTGAATGACTTGGCCGCCAGACTGCGTTTTTTTTTATGGATTGTTGTGCCTTACTGTTTTGAATGTGGCTTTGGTGTTGCTTTTATTTACTTTTTTTAGTGTGGTATTTTATCCTTTTTAGTATTTGTATACTTACTGTTTTTAGCTTTAAATATTGCCTTTTAATTATATAAGCCGTCTTGGGTCCTTTTTAAGTTAGGGTAAAATATTTTAAATAAATAAATAATAAATGAAATGATCTTGATCTTGTTGTGATCAGATTTGTTGGACTACCTTGAACCCAAGTTTTGGGATATAGAAAGAATAGAAATGTAATCAAATTAAATGGTTCTCTTCCTAGTAAGTTTTAGAAGGAAATGTTGAAGGCACATTGCTGAATAAGATCTGACAGTTTAATCTGTCCCTATTCTTTAATATCTACATGGAATCACTGGCAATGCTATTAGTATGCATGTGATTCTCATCTGTTTCTCTTTAAAAACATCAATTGAGTCAATGGATATGTTAGTCTGGTGACTGAATATAAAAGTAAAAAAAGGTTGCCCTGAAGGCCAGCAGTCTGATGTTTAGTTGCTGTTGTAGGTTCATCATCCAGCTGTGTGGACATCAAACATGGTTGTATTATCTGTGCTGCTCAATCTATCTCTGACTTTCATAAAAGTGGTAAACTCCATGTTAGATTATCACATTTTTTTTACACAGGTCTACCTTTGAAGATACAGTGGTGCCTCGCATAGCGAGCACACCGTTTAATGACAAATCTGCATAGCGATGTCGCTTTTGTGATGTTTACATAGGCAAGAAGTCGCATTGCGATGATCGGTAAGCGTTTTGCTTACCAATCTTCGCATTGCGATGTTCTAAAAACAGCTGATCGGCGGGTCCAAAATGGCCACCAAAAGAAAAAATGGCCGCCCGCTCCGTTTTCGCGCCCTGCCCTCGCTTACCGAGGCGGCGAAAATGGCGGCCCTATGGAGGATTCCCGCTTAGCGGTGAGTTTATCCCCCATAGGAACGCATTAAACTCTGTTTAATGCGTTCCTATGGGTTTTTTCCCCCACATAGCAATGTTTCTGGATAGTGACAATTTACCCGGAATGGATTATCGTCGCTATGCGGGGCAGCACTGTAGTTCAGAAACCTCCACTTAGCTGAGACCATATCTGACTCTTAGTTGCTAAACACCCTTTCCCCCAAACATTTGGTATACAAGTGTACACATTGGCCCAAATCCTGTTGCTTAGAATAGCATACTGCACTAAAGAAAGCCCATTGAATCAATGGGGATTTGATAAGTCAATTCCCCAAGAAGTTGCATTGCTTCAGACTGGCTACAGTAGCTGCACCTTATTAGGCTAAAGTCACAATTAGAGTAGGCCCCTTTGAACCAATGGAATCCATGGAGATATTCGCTGATCAAATCCCATTGAGCCTACTCTAGAGCCATTTGTTATGCTGAGCAACAGGACTGTGACCATAAGCTTACCAGAAAGTAAACTCCAATGACTTCAGCAGGGTTTCCTTCAAGGCGGGTGGATCCAGGGGTGTAGCTTGAAGGCTGTAAGTTGCTACAGAGCGAAACAAGAGTTAGCCAGTGATGTTCAACGGGGCAGAGAAGGAAACGAGCTCTTTTGTGTGTATCTTAATTTGCATGTACTGTATATTTTCTTCTCCCTGCACCGGCAGAAAGGTTAACCTGAGTGCCCTCCCTTGCCTAAAACGCTGGGATGAAGACATTCGAGTTGACGTCCCTGAAATTGCACGCAGGCGAGGCGCGCAGGAAACTTCAAGGAGCCCCCGTTGTGCTCGATGGGGGGGCGCGCGCCTGCCCTCGAGCCGTCCTCCTCCCGCCTCGCCCGACAGCATTCCGCCACGCGATCCCCAGGAAAGGGGCGGGACCCTCTGCCAACTGGGCCGCCGCCGCAGCCGGAAACGGGGAAGGTCGGCTCCTTAAGCGCGGCGAACAGCAGCGGCGCCGGCGGTGGCGGTTCCGTCTCAGGTCGGTGCTTAACATTCGTTCCGCGGAGGCGTTCTGTGCGGGGTTGGAACAAAGGCTGTGGATTAAGGCTCGCCTCGAAAGATGACTTGGGAGAGGGAGGGCAAGAGGAGCAGCAGGAGGAGCTCAAGGAAGGAGAGAGACAAAAAGCACTGGAGAACAAACAGCGAGGAGGCTGTTTCCAGAGCGGGAAGGGACAGTCGTGGGATTGCTCCTGAAAACTTAAAAAAGACCACCTCTCGGTTCGGAAAATGAAATTAAAGTCCACCAAGCAGCCGCTTGAAAATCGTAGGTCTCGAGGCTAGATCGAGTCGAAAGCACATACTGTAATAAGAACAGCAACTCGAGCACCCAGTGCCTCTGTGCATGGGCAGAATGCCCAGCGAAGGGTCCAGCAGCAAGTTAGCAAAATGTATAGATGGTGCACAATTAGCCCAGGAGCGCGCGGCACATGCTGATCAGAAGCCAAGTTCCGTTGAGCTCATTGGGACTCACTCTCTGGTGGGCATGTTTCGTGATTGCTGCGTAATTAAGAGTTTGAGATTCGGTGAACAAAACTCCCATCTGCAAGTGCTCGGATTCCAAAGGTTCTGCTGAATGAAGAAGTGTGTTGGGTACAGCCCTGAGTTTAGGAACGTAGGAAGCCAACTTGGTCAAAGCGTGGGTCTCCGTAGCCCAGTAGCAGCTGCTACTGGGCACAGTTCCTTCTTTGTCCCACCTGTAGATCTCTGAGATGCGATCGCGGTCTCCTTCCAAGTACAAACCAGGCTTGACCCTATTGAAATAGGATGAAATTAGTGTGATCAAAGTCTTATAGTGGATGCCTAGTAGAGCTAGGATTGCAACTGTGTACTGGGAAGAATGGACCGCCCGACGGTTACGAAAAGATTTAATGTGGCTCCTGAGCATGTGCAGATTTTAATACTTTTAATGTGGAAATGTCTAAAACAGTAGTTTCAAACCTTGTGTCCCCAGGTTTGATTGGACTACAGCTTCCAGTGTGCAGATTTTAATACTTTTAATGTGGAAGTGTCTAAAACAGTAGTTTCAAACCTTGGTTCCCCAGGTTTGATTGGTCTACAACTTCCAGAAATCCTGACCAGCATAGCTAGTGGTAAATGACCACAAAAGCCTCTTTTCTGTCTACTTTGTGTGGCAGTGCAGAAAGCATTTGTAAACATGCCCACACAAAGGCAAAAAGTCTGTTGCAAAATTCTGCATGCATAAGAGGAGTCACAAAAGTTAACATGCATCTGTACATACGTCAATAGCACACAAGAAACCACTGGGAGAATTATATACACAGGTTATTTGTTTGTTTATTTTATCTATTTGACTTATACCACCCATCGCTGCCAGGGCCACTCTGGGTGGTTTATAACTAAAAAACATAAACACTTTATTTGTTTGTTTGTTTGTTTATTTTATCTATTTGACTTTTATACCACCCATCGCTACCAGGGCCACTCTGGGTGGCTTATAACTAAAAAACATAAACAATAATATGAGACGGTAAACACAATAACAATCAAAATGAAACATCAAACTTTAACAACATAAGTAAAAACTAAAAAAAATTAGGAAAGTTTAAAGGGAACAATGGTGGGACGGATGATATAAAACGCTGAAATGACCACTGCCTTAGGATGTTGAATACTCCGGGAAAGTATTACACAATTTCTGATTATTCTGTCTGATTCAAATAGGATTTTTGCCTTTAAGAGGCACAGGAAAGCAAATGACATCTGTTTTTAAAATAATAAATGGTATCAGTTATAGTTAGACACTGTTACTGCCCTGGATCTAAGGGCATGTTCTGAAATGAGGCAAATTGTATTGCAGCTTGGCAGAAAATGAATGGGCATCAATTAGAGGGGGATACAACTCTTTGAATGCCTCAGCCAGAATAGCCAGGCTCTGAAGGCCAGTCTAGGTGGTTCAAAACAGAGAATAAGACAAGAATTGACATAAACAAATCAAAATATAGTAACATAAAAATAAATATACTAAAGATGATAAATCATTTATAAACATTATGAACTTAAAAATAACTCAGAAACAACAATTAATAAAAACAGTCAAGGTGGTGTAATCACTCGCTTAAGAGTTTGTAGATGCTCTTTGTTCTGTTGATGGTATACTCTCAAAGACCAGTGTTTTTAATGATCTTTTAAAATGGCCAGGGAAGGGGCCAAGGAAGAGGCCAGACTTTTCCACAGGTTTAAGCCTCTCTCCTACACTTAGGTGTCTGTCAGGTAGAACTCCCAGAATGAAGAATTATGGGATTTGTAATCAAAAAGTCTGAAAATATCTTTACTCTGTAGGAATTCTGAGAAGCAGATAAGAATCAGAATAACAGAAGAAGACTGAATATGAATCATGGCCACAACCCTATACATCAAGGGTGGCCAATCTGTGGTCCAAGAGCCTTGTTTCATGACGGTTGCCCTGATTTCCTCAGCTGTCTTTTAAAAAAATCCATTTAGACTTCTGGCAATAGAGAAGGGGAGGGGGAAAAAGGCTAGAGGAGAGAAAGAGTAAGTGGGTGACACTACTTTCTTTTGGTTCTGGCCCCACCTACTGGTTGGTTGTGGTTCTGCCCATTGCTGGCTTGACTTACGGTATTTCACCCACTGCATGCAAAGGAATGTGGCCCTCAACAGCAAAATGGTTCCTTATCCCTGTTATATACACTTTCTACCATGTTTTCCCAAAAATAAGACATATTATGTCATGAAACACTTTACTACCATGTTTTCCCAAAAATAAGACATATCTTATTATGTCATGAACATTAATATAAGATTATATAAATAATCTTTCAGGGAAAGTTATTTTTTTTCATGTACTACGATCTACATTTATTCAAATATAGTGATGTTACCTTCTGGTTGCTGAACAATGCTGCACAATGGTGGAGGGCAAGGTTTCACTTAACTGGGGCTTATTTTGGGGTAGGTGTTATATTATGAGCATCCTGAAAAATCATACTAGGACTTATTTTCAGGTTAGGTCTTATTTTGAGGGGAAACAGGGTAGGAGTATGCCCTGCTGAACTCAGTGAGATTTATTTCTGAACATACATACAGGATTGCATTATAAATGTTTCTTTTGCAAAAAAAAGAAAAAAAAGAATGGCAGTTGTATGGATATAGAAAAAGAAAAGGAAAAAAAGAGAAAAGAATGGAAGTTGTATGGATATGCAACATTTTGTTGTTGTTGTTGTTTAGTTGTTAAGTCATGTCCGACTCTTTGTGACCCCATGGACCAGAGCATGCCAGGCCCTCCTGTCTTCCACTGCCTCTCGGAGTTGGGTCAAATTCATGTTTATCGCTTCAGTGACACCTAATGGGGTTTAGGTGTGCTCAACTGTTGCCATTCAGCCATATTGTTGAAGGATACACTTCAGTATGATTTTGGAAATTCTTGGTACTTCCAACCCAGAAATTGCTAGGAAGGTCACCATGAGACAATTAGCTCATGCGATTAATTTGACCTGTGGAACCTCCAGAGCCCTCTCTGTCTCCGGTCACCATGAGTTGGAATTGACTTGATGGTATATATGATCATTACACCGTAGACAATTAGCTCATGCGATTAATTTGACCTGTGGAACCTCCAGAGCCCTCTCTGTCTCCTAAAATTCCTTTCCTGCACCAGCTAAGAAGTTAATTTTCATTATGTCAGATCACTAGAGATGGAGACAGTCAAATACTCCCATCCCAGTTGGACCTAATAAGGGTCTCGCCCCCCAGGAGTGGACTGTCCACTCACGCGTCCTGGTGCCATGAAATTCCCGTCCTTCCAACCAATGATGCTGGGAGCTGCATTGTTTCATTGCTTGGCTGGCCACTCAGCACCCATGCGGGGAGACTCATCTTCCCACCCCCTGCCTGGAGTGGCCAGCTGAGCAGGGAGACAGCGGAGCTCCTGGCACCATTGGCGGAAAGAGCGGGACTTTTGTGGTGCTGGGATGAGTGAGGTCTGGTTTCGGGGCTGGATCTTCATTAGGTCCAGCTGGGATGGGGATATTCATATTAGTTTATGAATACAAATATCCCCATCTCTACACATCACTGATAGGCATTAATTCTAGATCAGAACTGCTGGAAGCAGAGGCACGGAGCACATGTCTTTCCTTCCCACTTCCATAGATTGACAAGGTTTTGGAGAAACAAGGCGGTATTCCCTTCCAATGTGCCCCATGTTTTCACTGAGAGCCCAGTGATATTTGGGGGCATGCATGACCTCATCCACTCCATGGAGGGCTACCAGGTACTAGCGGCTAAATAGTTGCCTCCCCTGACCTACGTTCTTTTCTTTGAGGTGCGCCACTTCCCAGGCTTCAGTGCCCTTTATATGTTTGTGTCATTCTTCGGTCCTTGTTCAGGAATGTGATAAAATACAGGGGGAGCTTGATATGTTTGATAACCAGTAGCCTGTAAATAAGCAGCAGGTGAACTACTTGGGCCTTGGGTGCAAAAGGTGCTTGACAGAACAACTAAATCCAGTTTTCTTTCCAAAATGATTCAGTGACATAACTGCAACTCTTGTTCTCTTCCTTCTCCACTCCTTATATATCTGAGAGCACCTCCCTTCAGTAAATGAATCCACTTTCTTAGCCGTACAAACCTACTTCTGACTTAAGACCTTCAGAGGAGCCTCTTTTGTTTTCTTTGCCTGGAGAAGCTGATTGTACAGGAAGCTCATTAGGCACAGGAATGCACTGTACACGTAAATATATGGCTGAAAATCCTGCTGCTTAGCGCAGTAAGCCACACTAGAGTAGGCCCATTGAATCAGGGGAGATTTGATGAGGCGACTCCATTGTAAGTTGCACTGATTTAAATAGTCCTACTTTAGTTGTAATTTACTCTGCTAAAGTAAGTTGCAACTACTTGAATCTATTGAACTTTACATTGGAGTTGATCGACTCCCGTTGATTTAATGGGCCTTGTTGTTGTTTAGTCGTGTCCGACTCTTCATGACCCCATGGACCAGAGCACGCCAGGCCCTCCTGTCTTCCACTGCCTCCCGGAGTTGGGTCAAATTTAATGGGCCTACTTTAGTGCAATTTACTACACTAAGCAACAAGGTTTCAGTCTTTGTATACACACAATAAAAGCTGATCAAAGATGCAAAGAGTAGTACACATTAAACTCAAATACATATTTTGGAGCTAGCTCAGTGGCTTAGGTATCTGACAACAGAAGCAGCAGTTGAGAGTCCAGTTCTCCACTGTACCTCCCATGAGTAAGTAGAGCCAGCCTGTTTGGCCTTGGGCAACCTTTAGTGTCCCAGGACGCCCCCAAAAGAAGGGAATAATGAACCAATTTGTATTTCCTACCTGGAAAACCCTGAAAAGGGTTATCATAAGGTAGAATTGACTTGATGGCACATGTGGAAGATGATATTTTGGAGCTATGTGGTGTATAATGGTTAAATTGCTGGACTAGGGTTTCAATCTCCACTCGAGTGAAATGCACTATGTGACCTTGGGCCCGTCATATTCTCCCAGCCTGACCTACCTCACAGAATTGTTGTGAGGACAGATTGTGTGGGAGCATATCTGTGTATGGTACCATGTGTTCATGGGGAAAAAAGATGGCATGTAAGTGTAATGCAGTCAGTGAATCATACAGTAATGCCTTTAGCATTTTTCATGACAGACAGTCATGATGGAAATAACAGTTTCCTTGTTACTGCAGTGTATGGGAGGCTCTTTCTGAGAATGGCTTACAAATTCACATTATCTCTTTGTTTGCAGGTGTTGTTTAGCAAGATAACATCCTCTTAGTTGGTGAGGATCCTTAAGAATGTCATTACAATTAGGGACGCTGCCAAAATGGGAATTTTATCTTTACACGTTCCTTTCTTTTGGCTTCCATTTTTATTCCCTTTATGAAGTCTTCCAAACCTCTCGAGGTAAGTCTCTTTTCCAGGTTTATTCTCTTTAGGTACTGATTATTTTTTTGCTTTTGTAGTTCACAGTGTATTGACTCAAATCATATGACTTAATGGAGTACTTTTCTAACAGTCCTCAGCGGGGCATTCCACAAAGGCTTTTTGCCTGAAGCTCCTGGGTACTTTTTCTTTGTGTGAGCCGAGGGCTGGGGAGAAGGTACGCACAAGGTACAAGCTGTGAAAGCGTAATTCAAGGCTTGTGGTTCCTCTTAGTAAGAAACTAAAAGAAGCAGTATCTCAGCTTAAAAAAAGAAACTAAACATATGTGAAGTTGGTCTGACTAAAAGTGGTGTGAAGAGAAATGCCATGAAAATTTTCTTTTCTAATTTATATTCCTGAGAATATTTGTGTGTGTCAGGATACGTATGCTTTTAAGTATATGGGATATAGTTATACATGTATAGCTAGGATTCCACTGATTTGATTCCTTACAGTATTGCTGTTAGTTCTATTTTATGGGGATTTACCTGTGTATAGTCTCGTTGGAAGTAATTTGAATCCGATGTTGACAACCTCCTTTCATTGTGTGGTATATAAAATATTTCAGTTCCTTGTGTAAGAAGAATCTGAGAGAACAGTGCAATGTGGTAGCAAAAAAGGCGAATGCTGTATGAACAGTAGTCTCCAAATCCTGTGAAGTATTAGTTCCCTTCCATTTGGAACTGGTTAGGCCTCATCTTGAGTACTGTGTCTAGTTTTAGACACTGTACTTTTAAGAAGGATGCTGGCAAATTGGAATGAGTTCAGAGGAAGGCAGTGAGGATGATCAGGGGATGGAAACCAAACCCTATTAGGAGAGACAGAAAGAACTGGGCAGATTTAGCCTTGAGAAAAGAATCCTGAGAGGAGGACATGATAGTACAGTGGTGCCCCGCATAGCGACGTTAATCCATTCCGGATTAATCGTCGCTATGCAAAAACATCGCTAAACGGATCAAAAAACCCCATAGGAACGCATTAAACTTAGTTTAATGCATTCCTATGGAGCCCAAACTCACCGTTCAGCGAAGTCCCTCCATAGCGCCGCCATTTTCGCGCCCTCGGTAAGCGAGGGCAGGGCGTGAAAACACTTGTGGAGGCCATTTTGGGCACTCGGCGGCCATTTAGGAACTGCCGATCAGCTGTTGTAAAAACATCACAATGTGAAGATCGGGAAGCGAAACGCTTACTGATCATCGCAATGTGAGTTTTTGCCCATCTAAACGTTGCAATGCGATTGCTTTTGCGATCGCAAAAGTGATATCGCTATGCGGATTCATCGTTAAATGGTGCGCTCCTTAAGCGAGGCAGCACTGTACTTTTCAAATACGTACTTGAAAGATAGTCATACAGAGGAAGGGCAGGATCTCATTCATTCAAGAATACAGGACATGTAACAATGGGCTCAAGTTATAGAAAGCCTGATTTCAGTTAAATATCAGGAAAAAACTTCCTAACTATTAGAGCAGTTACGACAGTAGAACCAGTTTCCTTGGGACCTGATGATTGCTCCAATGCTGGCAGTATTCAAGAGATAAACAACCATCTATCAGATATACTTTGATTTGGGTTCCTGCATTAGTAGGGATTTGGATTTGTCGGCCAGTTAAGTGATACTTGATGGCCTTTTAGGGCCCTTCCAACTCCATTATTCTCTGATTGTATGATTCTAATTTATGGTAGTTCAGTTCCAAAAATTAGGCTGCTTATGTAACTTCGTAACAGAATTTCAGCCATTTTCTGCTCCCCTACTAAAAATCCCTATTTGCAACAGACTCAACTAGCTGTAATTCCCTTGTGAACCACCACTCACTGAAATTTTTGTCATAGTCCCCATCTACCAATCTTCACCCCACCCATCCATCTTGTACTTTCTCTCCTACTGTTATATATGTCTTGTTGATGTTTCTCAGATTTTCAGGTGTGTGTCAGGTGTTTCTCTGTATCCAACTCTCTGAACCTGGCCTTCATTTTGGGACTCAGTACGGGTGGGTGTTCAGAGAAATTTTAATCTGAACTCTTGAAGAGAAGGAGGAAAAGAGAAACCGTGTCATAGCGGTTGTCTTTCTTATTTTATGGAGAATAATAGTTAGAAGAGAGTCTCTTCCTTGTGAAGACTTTCCATGCTATTTGGAACTGTGATTTTGAGAGTCCCAGTGTGAGGATGACAACAGTTGTTGTCCCCTCACATATTCAGTCAATCCTTTTATGATTGACTGAATTCAGTTAATGTTGATCTACAAACTTTATAGACAAATTACAGTGCCCTGTTGGATGGCTGTTCTCTCTTTCTTTTCTTTTTAGAGACTTCTTCAATTGTTGGAAACAATTATTAACAAAAGATTTTTTTACTTTATTTACAATAAAATATTTTGGCATGAACTTCAGTATCTCTTAGGGAAATGTTTCTCACTGTTAGCTATCCAAAGGTCCTCTTTGCATGGAATAGGTGTGTACGTCTCAGGGACGGCTTGTCCCTGGAGGGTGGACATCTCACTCTAAAATTTTGATGGAAACACTCCATTGCTCAAATTCACAGTACACATGTTCTTTCCACCTACATTTGTACAGTGATGTGAGATGTGAAATGTACACACGATCAATTTTCTTCTTTGTTGAGTTTTTCCTAGCTAGAATTGCATCACTTAAATCAAATCTCCTTGGGCTAATTTTGGCTTTTCCCTATATATAAATGGGATATGTTATCTTTATTTACTGTAGCACACTATTACTTGAGAGTCATAACTTACCAGTCTGCTTTAATGCCTGGTTGGGATAAATTGCCATGTTTTATTTTTTCCACAAGGGGGAGATAGTAAAACAGTTTTTAAAAATGTTGGGGACACGACCAATTTATTATAACAGGTAATGATTGGGTGATTAAACACAACACCTTAAAAGCTCACTTTTTTTGTCCTGGAGTTACTAAGGCTATATTCTATTATTATGTACTGAAAAGGAAAATAAAATAAAGGACCACAAAGAATGTACTCTAAACTCTTCTGTTTAAAGATTCAGATGTATAAAACTCAGACATGAAAATCAAGGACAAATGTTGCTTAATGACTTAGAAAGGACTGCATTCAAAATTAGAGTTTTGAGTGCTTTTTTGCAGGTTTTGCTGTCATGGAAACACATACACCCCGCCCAAACCCACAGCAATATACAGAAACTGAAAAGAAAATAAGGCTTATCCAAGGAATCCCTTATTGTTAAGTAAGGTTTAATTTAGAATTTCTTTTAATCCTTGATTTTTAATATTTAAAACTGCAAAAATGTGTCTAATGTCAAAGAGATTCCTTTGTTGCTGCCATCTTGAAAATTATGTGGATAGACTGTCCAGTTATCACTGCCACTGCACTCTGTAACAGTTCATAATGTTGTTTTAATACTTACAAGAACTGTGGAACAGGCAGAGGATTTGAGAATATGTATAGTGTAAGTCATAGGTGGGAGAAAATGTAGTCCACCAGTACGTGACAAATCTGGCAAAAAGAGGGTTAATTTCAGTTGCTCTGTTAAAGTATGTACAGTACTTGGTACTAGAAAGGAGGAGGGAGAAATGGCCCTCTAATTAAGAAAACTGTCCGCATCTGGTTGGTATGTTATCTGTCCAAGTCAAAGGTTGAATAAATCTTTTCCTATAGTACTGTAATTGCAAGAACCTGTGTCAACCAGACCCGAGGGTGGGAAGAGAGTGGATGAGAACAAAGTTACTTTGAAAAAAGTTACTCCCTTCCGGAAGGTTCCAAGCAACTGGGAATTTGATAAAGAGCATCGGGAGGTCTGGAAGTGGGTGAGGGGCATAAATGTAGATCAGACAGCGGAGCTCACAAAATCTTACCACGCTTTTTCTTAGCTTCACTTTGCTTAATCTCTGAATAATGTAGTGCCTGCCAGGTATTCTGCTATACTCTGCACATGTACTGGAACTATGCTATAGCTTCAAATATTAGAGTGGGTTAGGTAGTTTCATTATTTTATGGGGGAATTATTCTGAAATTGCCTAGTATTAGTAGCTTCTGAACAGCTTTTAAAGCCTTGGGTTTTGTTATGGATCTGTTATGCATCTTTTTGATTCTTTTGGAAACTTTGAATTTTCTTTTGAATCTTTCCATCTGTTCGCAACATCTTTAATAAAATATTAACATTTTTTGCATTGTGTGGTCACGATGGAAAGAAGGCGGTTGGCGTACTAAGGAAAGTGCCTTGAACTTGGGATTTTGAATATTTTGTGGGTGTTTGGCATTCCTGCCTTACAGTGTTTGTGGACCCGAGCAAGTAACCCTTGTGATTTATGGTTATTCCTTGGAGCACTAAAGGAACAACCGGCTCAGAAGTGTGTGTGTGTGTGTGGGGGGGGTCACACTTTTTCCTAACCTGCAGTGCACTTTACCTTCCTGGTCAGTACCCTCAGGAAAAATCAGGGTAATGGGGCTGAATGGTCAGTGGATCCTCTCTGTGGTGGCCAGTATCTTGACACCCTGCTCCCTCTGTACCGCCACATCTCAGATTAATTTTTTAACAGCTTTGAAAGCCCTATTGCTCCCCCTGGGGGAAGTGAGGGCAATTTTGCTGTGTTTTGAGGGTCCTCCAGCCACCTCTGGACCTCCTGAACCCTCAGTATATTACAAGCCTTCACAACTCTGAGACAGAACAGGAAATTCTCATTTCTTTTGAACTAATGATTTCACAGAACTCATTATTATTTTAATTAGCCACTCATGTTTCTTTGATAGTGGAATCTTGGTGCTTGCTAAACATGGACACAGGAAACATAGGGATCATGAATGTCTTTCACTGTGGAAATGATTTCTGATGTTCGTACTTCAAAATATTGAAGATACCACCATTCCATCATTATATTTTTTTGCTGAGGCTCCATCTTTTTCAGTCTAGCCATTCAGTATATTCTGCCAGGTACATCGGATGGACCATATCCAAGGTGTTAGTTCAGTCTATGCTGAGAAGTTATTAAATTG